TACCTTTTTGACCTTAAAATCACCATGGTGAACGAAGTCCAACGAAAGTTAAAAATACCAATCAAGCAAACTTTCTAGGAAAAAGCAGCTGGTTTCGATCTCGGTCTGTCCACAATATCAGAAGCATGGTTAATGAAAGTGCCGTAATCCTACATTTAGTTGTCCAACTGCATCGCTTCGTAACACTCCGTTGTCCAATCACATTGCAAGTTCTCCGAGTAATTTCCTTCCCTGACACCCTCGGCTTGGTTTTGATCTATCATGCGTCAGCGACATTCCATGCACATCTAACTTTGGGAGAGAGTCAAATTGACAGCGCCCCACCAAGCTCGTGTTTAGCCTTCTTGTATATGATTTGGCCTGCGTTTTGCGCAGCACTGGTCCTGGCGGGTCTCAAACACCTCTTCGTTTTCTTCGTCATGTCTGCTGCCATTTGTTATTGACTTGGGGGTGCAACGACTTGAATATATGTGTTCTGGTGTTAGAGAGAACGTTCCACATTTGCAGTCATTTGCGGGGATGTTCTTCATTTGGCGATACTGAAGCAAGTGTCAGATATGATGAAATAAACTCCGTTATAACTATTGGTGCACTTTTAGTTGGAAAACACCGCCAAGACAAGACACTTTCTGTTTTTAATAACCATACTCTGTAATGCGCCTGATTGCGTCTTGAAAGGATTACATGACGTCAGAGGCGCTGCCAAACTGGCCATGCAAAATCGCCACCCTAGCACTCGCATGTAGTACTTCAATCTCCCAAGGGGTGGCCACGGCAGTCCTGGATGTGCTCGCTGAACCATATATTGTTATGTGCTCGTGTTTTGGCCCTTTCTCAACAGTCAAAATTATTGTGTGATGTAGCACAAAACGTGATTCGTGTTTGAAACTTCCATGGTCTGTACAACATTGATGGAGAGTCACTTGACCTTCATTATATTTGGAAATTGTGCTTACGAACGCTAGATTTGAACAACTCGACGACTGTATTATTTTTGATGTGCACTGCACATCAAGGGTAGTGGGCACACCCTGAAGTCAAAATAAACATCATAGTTCTCCTAACCTTGAACGCAGTTCTTTAAAGCAGGTCGACTTGTGACTATTCTTTTAAGTGTAAAAGGCTACTCCAGTCAATACAAACTCACTTTTATGGTAAACACGATCGTCAACGTGTCATCGTTTGGTTACGTCACGGAACGTCTCTGTGATACGATAGTCCCTGTCAGACCGGCCGTGTCAGAAATGGCACTGCAGCGGACGAACTGACTCACTTATAGTATTTTAACTTGCCGAGAGGTGGGGTATAGGGTTTGTTTGCTGAACCCAATATCGCTTCGTGCCCGTGTCTTCGCCCTTTCTTATTATGTTCCGGTATATATGTCCGCGGTTCCGTACCTTTTAATTGCATTCACACACCCGGTTTTATCGCTATTCTTACAGGGAATGTTGCACATTTGAAGACATGGAGCAAGCATCAGATGTGATGAAATGAGATCACTTATAGGTATTGGCGCGGTTTTAAGTGGAAAGGACGGCTCAAGACAACATAATTTCTCTCTCCGTAAATATGCTATTCAGTACGTCATTGTTTCACAACGTCATTGCATCTTGCACAAAATTAATTGAGACCCAACTGACAGCCGTTATGTCTGGATATCGTGCTCACGAACACCAGACATGAACAACCCGAAAAGCATATTTTTATTGGCTTTGAACGGCGCATGGCTAATAGAATGTCAGAATTTGAATGAGCTTATTATAGCGTCACGGACATCTGGGGGACACCGGAATTGCTCCCCGAAGCAGTCTGCACATAATTGCTGGCATGTAGTTCAGAAACTAAAGGACTTAGGTCTTAAGAAGGGCAGGGCTGTAAACTGCACCGAATGATCTTCAAGATGACTGTTTCAATTCAAAACCTCATGCAAAACCTCATGCACTCCCCTTAAGTTACTTGATTCCCAGTCTTATTTCCGTCATAGCAAGTACTACTACCCAACGTTTTGCATTATCTAGCACACAACGTGAGTGGTGTTCAAAACTTACACTCAGCGCAGAGTATTGGTTGAAGGCCGGCTGATGTCTGTTGGTGTCACAAATTGTCCTGACGTGCACCAGTTACGAATAATCGATAATCTTCTTTATTGACGTCGACCTCTACTTTTATTGACATCGCTAGCCTTGAATTTGCGAAATTACACAAACACAAGTTATTAATCTTACTTCAGTAGATGCCATGACCATGACAACTTTCCTTGAATACTGGCCACGCCTATGTAAGATACCGCATAGACATTCTCAGTGCCGACATAGCACGTTACACTTTCATTTATTAAAGGTGCATACAACGATCGCAAAGGAACAGCAAATGCCAAATGTACTTCCATAGCGCACTATCATACTCACATCGCATATGCCGCATTGACCTCATCGTTAAAATGTTTCATGTTCCAGAATGATATTAATACCACATAACTTACTTCAACAGTACGATCTCAACTAGCATGATTTAAAGAACTCATCTGAAGTGTCGTGCCCGAAATTACTCAGGATGTGCAAACAGGGTTTCCAGAATGTTCTCCTGAAATGGTGAATGAAGTCATAAAGTTGTGCAACGCACCACGAGCTCGACGAAAACGTTGGAGAAGTGACGAAGCCGCGCGATACTATGACAGTTGCTCCTTGTACGACATGTTCCGTCCCTCAAATTCGCTACACAGCGGAAGAACACGCTTCCCTGCCCCTTGTAATGCGCCGTAGCAATTCGTCATGACTTCATTCTTGTCCGTGATGTGTAGGTTATGGGTGACCGCGAGTGAAAAGCTACGTAGGTAAGGCAAACGCAGCCCGGTCTTGTTTGACTTAACCTTTCATGTGAACAGTAGAATATGCTGCGGACTAAGCAAGGTAAAAGTTTTAGAACACGTTCGTTTCTCCGTTTTTTTCTGTTTTTGCAAATTTTGCTCCAGCACATCGGGTATGCATTAGGCGAGAGGGTGTGCCAACGCTCCAAAGTTTTCAGAGGTGGCAGGACCGGCAAAGTTGGAACAAATTAACAGATTACTCTGCCGAGCGACCAGACCCTGGTCAACTGTTCGTCACATGCGTAAACTGACGGCAGTTTCACGCGTGTGCGCTGTAGCCTACGCCGACATATACTGTGTGCCGTGCTCCCGAAGTGATTCGGCAGAACCTCAAACCATGATTGACTTCAACGTGCTGAAAACTAATCGAACGATATCAGTCTGTCGTTTAACATCTCTTGTCCATCATGGCCAACTCCTAAGTGGCGACAGCCGCGCCGCGTGGTGGTCGAAGGATGCAACTCACGAGCTGCACAAATCATGACGATATTTGCACACTCCGAGGTTAGTTTGCATATGAGCTGTATGTGGCGTTGTCCGACCGCGACATTTTGGTTCATTTAGTATGTAAACAAAAGAAAGTGGGCTACGTGTGTGCTGTAAGTGAAAAGCATATCTCGATGACGAAAACTGCACTCCATGTCGCAAAAGTGTCGCGTTAATCCCGGTCGGACCTAGCCACGCAACGCCGAGCCGTGCATACAACGCTGGTGTTCATCCGCTTTTGGATTCGGCATTTTGTGGGTGAATATCGCTTATCTATGCTTGCAAAATGCGCCATGTGTGATTCCGTTTGAAGAAGCTTGTAACATATATTGCGGAAACGGGAATGATAGATTTATAAAAATTGTGCTCAAAGTGCATTGAACCACTTCGGACACACGTTCGAAACGTCACGTAAGTCAGAGATTGCTCCATATTTGTATGCGGGGAGGGTTGAACTAAAGTAGCCAATTCGAAAATCATTCAGCACAGTTCACGACTTTGCCTCAATTTTGCTTGCTTCAATATCTTCAAATGTAGAACATTCCCTTTAAATACCCACTTGTCCCTAAACCTGCGTGCATGTGCCTCTGGTGTTTCCAACAGTAATCTCCAGATTCAATTGTAACTTGCAAAGCTGATGTTCCATTCCTCTAGGAGGTCCTATTCACGCAATGAGAAATCTTATCTGCCTTTTTCTACGAAAATGCCGCGAGTTGCCACATCTACGCCAGAAGCATATCAGAATGAAACAAGATCCTGAAAAGCAACAAGGCCTTTCACGTCCGCTCTCATGTGGATAATAACACGCAACGTAACGCAAAATTTGCTTCAGTCTACAGAGATCCGGTTTCTCTCCTTGTCTACGATCATGTGCAACCCTTGCGATGTAAGGCAAGGATACAACCAAAGCCTTTCCCACCATTGAGATGGAGAGGTTGATGATACAGCGTTTGATTGACTTGATATGTGAAATGGGCTGTTCAATAGGATGCTTTATACCACGGGCTTTTAGTACTACCATTTATAACAATGGAACTGAGGAGTGGTGCACTCACCAATTGTCACAGTTTTGCCACCTTCAGGTTCGGTTTTAGGTGTTTCCGGTCACGCTCTTCAGTTTTGCGCTGACCAAAAATAAAATTATCTTTCATTTACAGAGGCATACCCTCTTTATGGTCAGTTCCATGCAAATGCCAGAGGGCCGTTGCAAGGGAGGAGAAGGATACATTTACCACACTCAATTATAGTAAGGTTCCATCCTTGTCATATACGAGGGCTAGGATGCAACTACTGCCTTGCATGAACCTTGCATCTGTTTTGTCTCTGGTCCAAGCAGGGCCATGCTGGCTCCCGATGCATTATTCTTATTGTGCCATGATATACGACTTATTCCCTTGTATTGTTTGCCTGTTTGTGTCGCTCTACGAAGAGTGCCCGAGAGGGATGACTCACTGGTCATGTTGCTTTCAAACCAATTTGTCTAGCCTCCTGGTCGCGCGCACTCGTTGATTTCCAAGCGTCGGTCGGGAGCATGGTGGGACGTGACATCATTTGTCAATGCACATAGAAGAGGGAACTGACGAGGAACGCATGACATCACTTGACACGACATCACACGATAGAGTAAGAGCACTTATCTATGACGCAGACCGGATGGAGAACTTCACTCCGGTGCTCCAAGGGGCTTTAGTGCCCGTGCAGTCGCCCGAAGTCTGTAGCGGGGCGTTCAACATCAGCGTCGCCTTCGAGAACAGGATCTGCGCCGGCGGAGGACCGAACGGCTCCGACACGTGCTCCGGGGACTCCGGCGGACCGCTGCTGGGTGAGGCCGAGTCTGACAGCGGGCTGAACTCCCGCACGAGCATAAAATCTTCAGAGGGACGCGTGCATGCGTCATCCAGTTCTCCCCGCGTTGCATTGCTGGCGGTGCATTCTCGCTCCTCACCGCTTTTTGTCGTTTGCTGTTGCATGTCCCCGGCTGTCCTCTGCGACGCTGGGCCTGCCTCTTTCAGCCTTTATCAGGGAAGATCAGATATACGTGCGTGCTTCGGTTTTCGGACCTTTTTCGCAGCCATATTTAGTTCAGGAAAAAATCATTTTTAGTCTGAACAAGTCGCATAGTCTTTCAAATGGCAGCTCATTTTAAGACATAAATAGGGATTGTCCGAAGCACTCAATGAAATGGGATCCTCCACAGGACTGTACTCGTCACCTTGCCATTTGATGCACACTTCGTTAGCCCCGGCCACAAACGATGTTTTGCATGAAACGACTTCAGTGATGCATCCTGGCTTACAGACTTTTCCCGTCACAAAATAACAACAGCTGTCAAAAATAAACACCTTTGAGCACAACAAATAGAATAGCTGGGGCAGCGGCGCAGACGTCCTCGGATTGGCCACAGCCGCTCATCCCATGGCTGCGCGAGAGGCGCGGACGTCCTCCGATTGACCCCAGCCGCTCATCCCATGGCTGCGCGAGAGGCGCGGACGTCCTCCGATTGACCCCAGCCGCTCATACCATGGCTGCGCGAGAGGCACGGACGTCTTCCGATTGACCCCAGCCGCTCATACCATGGCTGTGCGAGAGGCGCGGACGCCTTTCCCGTAACCGAGCTTCACAGTTTGATGGTACTCGACACGGTAATGACCTACTCGTATAACAACCTGGCAATCGTATAAGGTGCGTTTTATATAAGGCATACACACTGCCTCCTCAACCGCCTTCTGACGGCTGTGGCGATGACCTGGTATGTTTCAGCGGCCGCGCGCAGCCGGTTCTTCCAGACGGGCGTCTCGTCGTTCGGGGCGCAGTTCTGCGGCCTGAGCGCGGCCGCCTACACGCGAGTGGCCGACTACATCGACTGGATACAGCAGGCGATCGCCACTAACTGACACGACGGCAGCCGCGGCGTCCCCAGTCTTTGCTCCCTGCCTATTGGAGTATATATGGCCGTATTGGAGGGGCTTCGGAAGATTTCCCGCAGCGCTGCAGCGGACAAGAGTGCTCTCAGTCTGCTCAATAAACACATAAAATCTCCATGCGTTACCGAGGCATTTACAAGTCTGAGGCATCCAGGGCCTGTCGTTGTGTGCGGTGGTTGGGCTTTCTCTCATTATTTCACGAGGAAGGTGAATAATGTAGTACATGGTGATATCTAATAATGTAATGATATAACTCACCAATAAGTGAATAATATGTTTTTGTTGGTTGGCTATGCGCCATGAAAGTGAACTTGCAACAAATCAGAAAAGACAACTAGCTTTTAAATCTGCCAAACTTCACCATATCATGACTAACTCCAAAACAGATACGTCAAATCTATCTATCACTGACGGCAACATGATGTGGGATATGAGTCATTACCAACGTTGTTGCTTATGTTGTAACCTTTTTCATGCCAGCCCTGATTTGGCGTACAGGTAGACTGCATCTGTACTTAGATCCCTTCAACCTCTTAAACCCGGCGGTCTCAAAACCTAAGCACCGATTTGTTAGGAATTCTCGTAAAAAAACGCCTTCTCATGGTATAATAATCTACCAAAAACTAAAAGATCAGCGAAGTGCTGGTGCGGCAAAAGCAAGAAATAAATGAAAGGCAAGCAACCGGAAAGGCAAGGTCTCGCGTCGCCCAACATAATACAGTTTGCGTAAAGTGGAGCTTTTACTTTTTTGTTTCCTTGGTCCCATGATTGCGCGCCGGAACACATGAACATATACTCACGTTCTATACCTTGTCCCAGCATATATATATATATATATATATATATATATATATATATATATATATATATATATTTTGGAATATTTTGGATGAATCCTTTCTTTAATACATGTCTGATTAAAAATAGCTGCCGACTCAGCACTGACGAGCTTTTTGATGCATAGTTCTAGTTTCCGGGCCCTTGACTTGGCATCATCGCTTAGATTAAAGATGGTTCTCACGAAATTACTCATATATTCATCGCTCCTTCCATTATAACGTTTCGAGATCCTATCTCATCGTCGGAGAAGACTAAATGGCATAAGAAATAAGTTTTGAGTTTTAAAGGATAAAGATGGTATATTACTGATGAAAAACATATTTTGGTACGACAAAAATGGCATCTGCCCACAAACAAGACGAAACATCTTTACCGGAAATTATCTCTCGACATATGAAAGGCAAAAACGACCACAAAATAGACATCATCATTTATTATCGCAATAAGAAAATATCTAACTGTGTTATGAGAAACAGCCCAGACAAACCCGACAACCTAGAATGCATCAATGCGGTGTATCAGTTCCAATGCAACAGCGAAGACTGCAAACTTCGTTTCATACACTACATTGCTGTGACCACAACGACACTCTCACGACGCCTTACGTGACGGAGCACCTCTGGACCACATGCGACACGAACACATGACATTGACACGACAACAGCTGACAGACAGCACTGACATTTTTCGGACGTGCAACGACAGAAGACGTCTTCAAATTTGGGAAGGCATATTCATTAACGAACTCTTTCCGGCCCTAAACAGACCGACAAATTCTTGCACAACTCTTGAACTGTTAGGTGGTGGGCGGTGAGCACTACTGATGTGATTGTGGCAATAGTTTTCCCATTGTGTCTTTGTAGTGTTCCCATTATGGGTGTTTCTTATATGTATCAAAGTGAAAATAGGATTCTGTCTTACTTCAATTAGTTATGCTTCATTTATGTCCTCCGTGCCAAACTATGTTTTCCATCAGTAGTGCACAACTTTTTATCCCTTAAAACACAACATTTATTTATTGTGCCATTTAGTCTTCTCCGACGATGAGATAGGATCTCGAAACGTTAGAATGGAAGGAGCGATGAATATATCAGTAATTTTGTGCGAACCATCTTTAATCTAAGCGATGATGCCAAGTCAAAGGCCCGGAAACTGGAGCGGTGCATCAAAAAGCTCGTCAATGCTGAGTCAGCAGTTAATTTAATCAAACCTATATGCATATGTTATATCCGTGTATATATATATATATATATATATATATATATATATATATATATATGCATATGCATATGTGTATGTATATGTTTATTATATGCATATGTATACCCAGCCTCACGGTAACAGCCAAATAACCGACATTCGAAGGCAACCAAAGACGCCCGCGGCCGCGAAGGTTCAACACGAGCCGCTGCGAAAAAAAAAATTAGAACGATTACCGACGCGAAGGCGTGGAGAGAGCACGGCTGGTGCACATCGCCACCCGGCTATCGGCTAACGCCGGTACTTCAATACACGCATTTTACTGCCGTCTAGTAAATCCAAGAAACACCTGGCTGACGGTCGAAATGTCGATGGTCCGGAAAAGGTGACGTCAGCTGCTGGCCACACGGTCGATATGCATCGGCTGACGAAAACGCCAGAAGCGTGCCCAGCACTTACAAGCCAATGGGAAGAACTGGGGGAACCAGGTGAGGCGACTTCCCACGGGCGAGACCAGGAGGCGGTCCCAGCGGAAGAAGAAAGCGACCGGACCAAGAGAGTCCCATGGGCCTTCCGTGGAAGGCGGGGCCGATCATCTGCAGCCAGCAGCTCAAAACATCCAAGGTAAGTCGAAAAACAACAAATGGAAAGCCAAAGTCTGCTCTCTGTGCTTATACCCTCGCCCTGGTCCCCCTACTTACCCCCCCCCCTCTGTGGCATGACCTGTGTGATCATAAGCCCGTGGCGCGTAGCGCGATGTAAATCTCCCTCACTGAACCGTTTCGGGGGCCAGACGGGCTCGCGTTAGAGGGCTTGGGTGGAAGGGTGTGATGGAGATGAACGGTGATAGGAAACCGATGGCGGGCATTACTTTATATTAAGGATGTAGCCTGGGCCTGGTTGACATCGGTAAGGAAGTTCTGCTTAGGGACGGGGCGCGACTTGAGCGATAGTAGGGATGAAGAGCCGCGCTGGCCCCCAGGGTAACACCGTATCATGTGTGTGCTGCTGTCATGCCCTGTGCTAGGTGAAGACGGCATAAACGATCGGAATATACATAGAATGAACGATGCCCGCGAGACTTTTTGGAAGGTTTGACCCGGTCAAGTCGTCACAACGTGCTCGTGAAGATGTTTACGAAATATGCGCTCGGTGAACCCGGCATGACGATCACAGCCATGAAATCCGTGAGATGTTGACATTGGGAAGGCAGGTCCTACTTAGGGGCAAGGGCGCTACCTGGATAACACCTAAGAATGCCAGGGAATAGTACCCCACTCCATATCTGCGTGCCGTTGGAGTGGATTAGACGGTGAAAATGTGGGGCCGGAGTTTTTTTTTTAGGAATATAAAGAATGCATGCAGCGTATTGCGGGAAATGTAAAGCGAACGCGGGGCAAAATGCACGTCGGTAAATTACAAGGACCAGTGGGAGCAACGGAAGCTCAGCATAGAAAAGGGGTGGAAGAATTAAAACTGCAACTCCAACCAGCTAATGCCTGAAGGGTGAGATACAGTGCCGGGAAAGATAGGCGAGATGCTGCGCAGGGCGTGTCATGACTCATGTCAGACGACTGTAGCACGGGAAGAAACCTCTCTCCCCCGCACGAACTCCTCCAAATGTCGCTACATTCTTATCTCAACCTCTGCTCCGCTCCTCAGCAGTGAAGTTTCCTATGTGTCTCAATAGGAATGGACCACCCTCACAACTATATATAGTTCTGAAAGGGGCATGGCGTGCAGCACGCTACTGAGTTAAGGGGTGTGTTCCATAGTTATGCGGAATTTTGAACTGAAATAGTCATCTTGAGGAGCTTTCGATGCTGTTCACAACCTTGCCCTTTGTAAGACCCAGGCCCATTTAGTTTCTGAGCTGCATATAATAACGTCATTCAAATCCTGCCATTCTATAAGCCATGCAGTGATCCAGGCCAAGGAAAACATAATTGTTGGCGCTCGCTAGCGCGATTTCCAAATATAACGGCCGTCAGTTGACTCTCAATCGATATTGTGCAAAGGGTACGGTGACGTAATCAAACCATGAGGCATTGAGGAGCATATTTACTTAACATAGAACTGTGCTGTCTAGAGCAGTCTTTTTCACTTGAAAAGTGTGCCAATTGTAATAAGTGAGCTCGTTTCATCATATCTGATGCTTGCTTCACTATCCTTAAATGTGAAACATTTCCTTTAACTGTTCTTTGCAAACCGGTCAGTTTAGTAAAGTATTGCTAATGTTGCAAGGCCGATTTGCAATAAAATGAAGCATCGTGGAGCTCCAGGATCATCTCCATTCTTCTCGCATGGCCCAACAGCCCCTGAACAAGAATACGAAAAAGGCTGCAAAAATGGCACAGCATGAAAAGGCCATTCATTAACCGCATGATACCGCTCGACGACGACATCTTCCGCCTGAGACAGAGCGAGACAACGTGGTGGAACAGGGGTGCTGTTTTCCTATTCATTTGTTCCCTAGCTAGCTCTTGCTTATACAGTTGTTTCCTATTCAGCTATGTTCCATTCAGTTGTTTCCTTTTCAGTCTAGACCCCCTCCAACTTTGAGAGGGAGATGAATGAAATCCCAAAAAAATTCTGTTTTAAGTGCATTTTGGAGCAAAATTAGGCATTTACCCGGCTCATCGCCCAAATCCATTTTTGCGAATCTACGCTTTGGTTGACGCTGATGATCGTGACACTTGACGGATTCACCACCACATTGCCTCAGCATCCATCATTAACATAGAAGACGGACCGCTCACGCAGCTACCACTGGGCGGCGTGCAACTAGCAAGTCAGACCCTCTCCTCCAAACTCACCATCGCCTCCTCTTCATGTAGGCTTGTGTAGCACTCGCAGGCTCAGGTTAAAGCCAATCAGCAGCTTTTTCTGGCAGACTTTGGTGATGGTCTCTGTTCCAAGGCGGGGCTTGAATTCACTGGCTATGTTGGTGCCCAATAAGCCCTTATTGACACTCAGAGTGCCGTCTCAGATAATCCCCAAAGATTTAGGACCACAATCCAACCGAATTTCTTATTCTGCGTCAGCTGCACAGCAAGTCTCTATATGAACTTTGCATTCTCTCCCCAGTATTCAGCGGCCGTGATGAGAATTTTGCCAGATTCTTATCAGATTTAAATATTTTTGCTCGACTGCATTCACGGTCTGAGGGGAAGCAGCTCCTATATTTACCACTATATCTGGCAGGGCTGACACGCGACGCATTTGAGCCTCTGCAGCATGGACAATGCCATATTTTTTTTTCACGCACCCGAGGAGACGCTCCGCCAGTGTTTCATCCCAGTGGGTGTGATGGAAGTCCATGCCAAGCTTCAATAACTGGCTTTTGATCAGAGGGAGCCTGTTGAGATCTTCTTGATCCGATTCAAAGCAGCGTGCTCGCAGCGTTCCATGGAGTTTCTGGAGCCAGTCCTGTGAATTACTGGCAGTTAAAAGGCCCCTGTTTTTGTTTTTTTTTTGGTCCCAGGAAAGGTGGTGCGCTCAGTCTGCTCGGAGGCCACATCAGCGGGACACGCCATTCTAGGATTAATGTTGCTGTGCCCTCTAGAACGGAGCAGGTTCTTTCAGGCAACGTACACACCTGCGAGTTTAACGGCTCGGTTATTTTCAAGCCGACTATTGATATTCATGGGATAGAAGGTACACGCGCGTTGGCGCGCGTCAAGCGCGAAAAGTTCCTTGTGCAGTGAGAAATATCGCATCGGGACATATTCCCATACCTGGC